GGTATTGCAAATAGGGACTCAGAGTTTACTTTTTACGCTGATCAAGAGTGTTGTGGGCGAAAAAAAATTTTGAATCTCATCTTCTCAATTCAGCCCACTCGTCAGACACTCGACAAATATGGGGTGATCAGCAGATAGGATAAAAAGCCAACGAGTAAAAGAGTGAGCGAAGAATGATCGCTCTTTAATCCCCTCGTTAGTTCCTAATTCCCCCCCTCCCACTTTTCGCGCCCCTCACTTCTTCCGATGAGGACTCCTCGAATGTTCCTTCATTTGAAAACTATCACGCGTCTACCGCCTGCTAGTCTCTCATGGTTCACCAGTAAAAGTCCCTTAAGTGAGAGTAAAAACACTTTGCATGCCATGCAGGCAATGTATACTGGAAGACGGAGTGATTATTTTTTTCTAACCCGTTCAGAACAGCTCTTATCCATCCGACACTGTGTGAAGAAACAAACAGGGGGTGGGGGGTGGGGAGGGGAAAATGTAAATTTTTGAAGATTTTGATTTGAGTGATTTTGCTCCTAGTGGATCCGTCATGACGAAATTGCCGTGTCCGCGGATTGGTATTGCACAGTCGCGAACTGGACGATGTTCTTGCCTTTTTCATGAACTGGGCAGCCGACTCTATTGGAATGGCCGATCTAAAGTCTGAAAATTACGCCAGCGAACCGCCGATCGTTAATTTCAGCTTCAGTCCATACCTCAACGGAAGAATGTCCGCCTTTAACTGATTTCCAACGAATATTTTTATAGTTTCCCTGGTAAAAATTGGCAGTAGAATCTGTGTTCCAAAATACCATAGACCTACGGCCGGCTGTAAAATTTCCAATAGCTTCTATAGCCGGATACACAATTTCTTATAGCCTTTTATATCCAATGGCAACTAAGCAACAGCCAGGCGATAAAGTGTGTACTAAATGTTACCAATTACGGATGCTAGGACTTAGTGAGTATTTGGACTACCGCTCTCTTTTTGGGCTGTAGTATCTTGATTTATTTTGCAAGGAAATCTCCGTACTTTTGATTTGATGGATGCCTGCCATTCCTAATATATTAGAGCGCCTTCAGTTTCGTTTGATACTGTGCAGTGTGATATACCTCTGGTGTGAAATAGTTGCTTCAAGCGCCGTGACACAATGCGGTGCGGAAAGCGGGCAGCCAGCTGCGCGAAACGCGCATTGGCGCCTACAAACCTAACAGGGATACCACACGCGTTGCGCAATGCGTAATGTATGCCTGTTAGGTTTGTAGGCGCCGCGCCAGTGCGTCGCCGCTCCGCTTTGTGTTAGGCTCTAACATTTAATCTGGCGGAGTCAGCATTTTTCAACTTATGATTCTGAAATGTTTGCACGCTCTGTATGGATTATTCTCATTTTAATTGATTAAAAAAAATATGTATTAAAGGAAAATATAATGTGTGTCCTGTAAATATCAAGGTGGTTCCGTATCAAACTTATCGATTTTCAAAGCACACGAATTTCTACACAATTGCTTATAGCCTTTCATAGCAGATGGCGATAAGGTGTAGGTATAATCCGGCGATAGGAACTATAGCCCGCCTTCATAATTTTTTATCGCTTCGTATAGCCCGGCTCTATGATTTTCTCCGCTTTCTACAGCCAGCTATATAATTTTCTATCGCCTCCTTTAGCCGGCTATAAGAATTCTTATAGTATTTTGAAACGCAGCTCCTATCGCCAATTTTTACCAGGGTTTTTCGTTAACAATAATCAACATTAAAACCATTAATATAGAAATTTACAGGTTACGATAATCAAGTGTACAATAAACTGTTTTCGATTTATTTTAGGAGTTTTTAATCAATTTTCTAGTTTTTTTTTTTTTTTTTCACCCAGTATTCGAGTAAACCAAACAAATCAATAGGTAGAAATTCGTTTTACCAAGCGAGAGATGAATAAAGCAAAAAGAAAAAGTATACTTTTCGGCGAGAACATCCCATCAAATTTTGTTCAGGATTATTTCAGAAGTTGGGAATCAGAAAATCCATTAAACCCTACTATTCGTTAACCGATTAGTGCGCGACACTTATTTTTTTTTTTATTTTTTTTTTTATTTTTTTTTTTTTTTAGTAATATGATCGAGGTACAATAGAATACCGATATAGCTTTTCTATATGGGCTTTCTGTTATTCGGGGGATACAACAAATGACAACTCATATGCATTTCTGGAGAGGCGAGGGATGCGAAAGTGCCTTCAATTTTGAACATGCAACACGCACGACTGTGGAGCACGAATAGTTGCATCAAGGCGCTGCAGTGAACTTAGTCTAGAACTCCGAACATACATACATACATTCGAATGTTGCCATGTTATTCTTAATAAATCATTCGTTTTGGAGGAAACTCATGAGTGTTTTCCGTAAAATTTTCAGATACTTAGATCAAATTGTGATCTTAATTCTTTGATAAATTGGAAGAAAAATATATACAGGGTGTTTCAGACCACCCGTACCAGGCCTTTTTCTCGGTTGGTATAGGTCGTACGAAGTCGGAGATCGCGGGGTTAAATAGGGAATTGACCCCAAGGAATCCGAATTTCGTGGTCCCGAAACCCCCCCACCCCCCCTTGAGCGGTAAAGGGGGGGTCACGATGCTAAAAGTCACGGTTCCCGACCGAATTGCGGATAGATCGCATCAGAATTGAAAAGCACGGAAAATTTCACGTGGAATTGACCCCTAAAAATCCTAAATCGGACCATCCAAGGCCCAAATTTGATCCCCTAAAGAGGGGGACAGTACCCCCCTCCATAATTTCTCTTTGGTCTCAAAATTGACGTAAATTCTCCAGAAAAAGACGGTTTCCCAGGTAATCGACCTCGAGAAATCCAAATTTCATGGTCCCGAAGCTCCTCTAGCTCCCCTTGGGGGTTAAACGGGGGGGACCCAATTTTAAAAATCGGGGCTCCTTTCCGAATCGCAAATTGATTGCATCCAAATTGAGGAGCAAAACACATTTACATCTTAAGTGACTCCTAAGAGTTCTAATTGACCCCCCTGAACGGCAGAAAGTAACCCCTGAAGAAGGGGCCCTCGCCCCCGCCAAAAATTTCTCAGGATTCCTCTTTGGTCGCAAAATTGACGTCGATTCTCCAGAAAAAGATGATTTCTCATGTAATCGACCCCGAGGACTCTAAATTTCATGTTCCCTGAGCTCTTCGGGGTCGATTACATGGGAAACCGTCTTTTTCTGGAGAATCGACGTCAATTTTGCGACCAAAGAGGAATCCTGAGAAATTTTTGGCGGGGGCGAGGGCCCCTTCTTCAGGGGTTACTTTCTGCCGTTCAGGGGGGTCAATTAGAACTCTTAGGAGTCACTTAAGATGTAAATGTGTTTTGCTCCTCAATTTGGATGCAATCAATTTGCGATTCGGAAAGGAGCCCCGATTTTTAAAATTGGGTCCCCCCCGTTTAACCCCCAAGGGGAGCTGGAGGAGCTTCGGGACCATGAAATTTGGATTTCTCGAGGTCGATTACCTTGGAAACCGTTTTTTTCTGGAGAATTTACGTCAATTTTGAGACCAAAGAGACATTATGGAGGGGGGTACTGTCCCCCTCTTTAGGGGATCAAATTTGGGCCTTGGATGGTCCGATTTAGGATTTTTAGGGGTCAATTCCACGTGAAATTTTCCGTGCTTTTCAATTCTGATGCGATCTATCCGCAATTCGGTCGGGAACCGTGACTTTTAGCATCGTGACCCCCCCTTTACCGCTCAAGGGGGGGTGGGGGGTTTCGGGACCACGAAATTCGGATTCCTTGGGGTCAATTCCCTATTCAACCCCGCGATCTCCGACTTCGTACGACCTATACCAACCGAGAAAAAGGCCTGGTACGGGTGGTCTGAAACACCCTGTATTTACAGCAGGTTCCCCAGAAAAT